TTGCAGCCACATGTTAAATGCAGATGAACATTAAATAAATATTCATTACAGGAGAAGCAGAAACAGAGCCACCAAAGAAGAAGAAGAAAAAGGAGAAGAAGAAAGCGGAGGAGGAATCCAAGCCAGAAGAGGAGGAGACGGCCGTCAGCCCAGCAGAGGAGGTGAGAGGGGTGGAAAGATAAATTCATCTCTGGTTGATGGTCATTAATATACTGATGTGGAATCATTCTTTAAGTTCAGCTTATCTAGGGACCAGAGTTTACATTGAAGCACTTACATGATAAGATGTGATAAGTACATCTTGAAGTTTCTACATGTTACTATTTATGCTTTATAGACGACAAAAAAGAAAAAGAAGGAAAAGAAACGAGCGGCTGAGGAGGAGCCGAAGGAAGAGGAGGAAGAAGCGGCAGTCAGTCCAGCAGAAGAGGTGAGGACCATGATGCCAAACGCGATCTTATCTTATTTTATAAAACCTAAAACACTTTTTTTTTTTTCCTTTTACAGACAACAGAAAAGAAGAAGAAAAAGAAGAAAAAGGTTAAAGAGGCGGACGACTAGATGAATTGGACTCTTTTCCATGGACTTTGCTGTATATAAAATGACATTTTTATAGTTTTTGGACATCATATGATGGTCACATCCCCATTTTGTGTCTCCGGCCCAGCTCACAATGAACCGTTCAAGTGGACTTGTTATTCCTTTAAAAAAAATTATTTTAATTATAAGATATTTTCTCTCCATACTGCTTGATTGCGAGAGAAAAGTCCACAAGATTTATATAATTTGATGCTCCTCCTGTGTGTTGAGTTGTACTGGATCATACAGTTCAGTTAGTCTTCTATAAGTGAATGTTTTTAGTTTAAAGTGAGGATGGGATCACATTATAAAAGAAATATCTGAGGAGTATGTTTTGTGATGTAAAACTGGGTCATTTGTGTCTCAGGATTATTAAATACTGTATGTTTCTAGTATGTTGGCTCATTGACTTTTTTATTTTGTGTTCTTACATGGTTAATGCATTATACAATGTGTAACATTGATTTGTAGTTTAGTAAGATATTGGTCATTGAACTTCAGTCACGGTGCTGCTTGCCCAAATCTGCAGCACTTAAGCTTTTTTTAATTAAAAGCTTTTAGATTCAAATCCAAAGCACTTTGTTCCAGATGATCTCTATCCCTAAGAGGAAACAAGATGCTGCTTACAAATGTAGCGCAGATGAATCTCTGGACCGTGAGGAAATTTAGCCAAATCTTAGGATGGGGTACTTACTTTGTGTGTGTCTGTGTTTTACATTCCTCTCTGGTTCCTCCTCTATCCTTGTTCCAGTAAGATCAGGCCAAGTCAAGAAACTTGGCCAAAATACAGCATAAATTTAGCCAGCCATCAGCATGTACTAGGTCTAATGAACAGGAGATAGAGCAGCTATTTTGATTATCTCTAACATGAGAGGAAGTGACAGAATCTAGATATCACCGGGCCTCTGAGCCAAGATACAGTAAATCACAGTTCTTAAGGAGAAAGCAGCTCGTTTTTAATATTTGTAGGCAAGAAGGCATAGAACTTGATTATCAGTTTGCACTCGAGCATGAAATGCAAAAATGTTACACCACATTCAGTTTGTTTTTCACCAGCAAATGCAATGGCTGAAATTATATTGGAAAAGAGCCAGTGTTAGTTTAAACTGGAGTATTTTGCTTCTGGTGGTCTCAGTCATCTACACTCTTAAATTATATACTGGTTCAGCAAAGAAACTTATTTAAATAGGGTGTTAAGAATCTATATCAGTGATTCTAAATCTTTTTTATTCCAATGCCCCTCATTGTCCACAACAATATTTAACTGTCTTTTTTTTTTTTATATATATAAACTCATAAACCTACAAAATGTTTTAGAACTTGGCGTAACTAGAATTAAGAACTAACGTATTTTGGCATAGAAATTGTATATTTGTTATAAAAATGTCTGTGGAATTACAAGCTTTTATTAATTTACATGACTTCCACATCTAGTAACCAAACTTAAATAAAAAACGGGGTGAATTAAAATAGGAAACTAGATTTTTTTTGTAAAGTTTGTTTTGACTTATTTTTTATTATTTATTTACCTTTATTTAACCAGGAAATTAAAAACTCTTGAGATTTAAAATCTCATTTACAAGAGGGTCCTGGCCAAGATAGGCAGCACATTTAGTTACACATAAAACTTTTTTATGTGTTATGTAAAACTTTTAAAATCTTTTTTAAGTCATCTTGAGGCCTCCTAGTGTGCAACGGACCCTGATTGAGAATACTGATTTATACAGTACTTTAGATATTAAAAGAAGTTATTGATGTTTCATTATAAATCATTATAAATGGGAGACTGAGTACAGAGATGATTTAAAAAAAATTATAATTAGAGTATGTTTGTTTATGCAACTTATATAGGTGCTAATATTGTGTCAGGCTGACACTTGTAGCCTTTATTTTGTGAGTGTTGACATATTTATTCCATAGATCCCAGAATTTCCTCAATTAATAACAGTATTCATCATTAAAACCAGATCCATTCATCTTCAGCTTAACGTTACTTGGTGAGAGCACTCCTTAAATGGTGAGAATGAGTTGCGGTGGCAGAGAGAAACGTCTGCCCTCGTTCTCTGGCTTCGTAACCCTTGCCTTAGTAGCGCAGTTCTCTCTGGTCCATTTTGGCTATTAACATGAGAAAAGGGTTTTATCAGGAACGTAGACAGATTTATGGAGTTAGCCTTGACCATTTCTTATGGATGGGAGCCCATGTTTTGCAAAGCTCTGGAGCTCTGGATATGAATAACAGAGGATGGCTGTGTTGCTCACTACACAAACACAACACACGTTTAGCCACGTTTATGGTGGTTGACATGTTTGAACCGGTGTCTTTCTAGAAAGGGCATTTATTTTGTAAAATACCTGATGCAAGTAGCAAAGCATAATACAAGTAAAATACAAAATCTAGATCTCAAGTGCTGAGAAATAAGGTTCCTTATAAATTCCACGCTCATTTATATCTATGTGATTGTTAGGTCAGACTTTGGCTCTGTTAAAAGATTGACATAGATGCTGACCTTTGACCTTTAGCAATGACTCTACATGTAATTGTGTTTATTTATAACGACATAAATCCAACATGACTGATGAAAGTGGTGAAGTCCCTCTGGAACATTTTCTGCTATCTTCTACAGCAATGAAGTCTCTCAAAACACATTATTTTGATAAAACAATCATTTTATTCTTGTACCAAACCATGATGTTTTTCTCATTTGGGATTGAACTATTCATGCATGTGTTAAACGGTATTAAAGATGGTCCTAAAGGAATTTTTTTAAATAATGAGAAACATCATTTCAGTCAAGTGTGCGAATCGTGTGCATTGCAAGAATTAAGACCAAGTCACTCATTTTCATGCTCAACAGAAAAAAAGTTAAAGTATCTTACAGACGAGCATGTTGAATGCTAATATGGCACCAAATATGGCAGTACATTCTCATTCGTAAAGTCAAGGTTTTGTGTTTCAAGGGAAATTATTCTTGTATTAGTTTTTATTGCCCCTAATCATTTTGAGTGATTTGGGATTTGTGCAGTTAAATAAATAAGAAAAGCTGTTTTTAGTGTGGCTCTGCTAAGCTACCTATGATTGAGAGGACATGGGGGTTCTCCACTCATGTGTGGTTGCCAAGTGTTCCCTATAACAATCCTCCCTTCCCACTAATCAAGACATTTATTTTATTACTATCAAATGCAAAACATGCATATTAAACCCAGACACTCAAGATACAGACAGTCAGCAGAGATAAAGTGACCTGTTAGTTTAGTTATGCTCTAAAAGAGCATGAAGGAATATTCTAGATTAAAAGTTAATTCTACAACTAGAACTAGAAAGCATATGTGGGCCAAAATCCAAAATATACCATGACCTATATTATTTACCTGAAGTATTGCCTAAAATTCTAAATAATATTAAATTTCAAAATATTTGTATTTTTTTAATATAATGAGTTTTACAACATGTTTTTTTACATGCATATTCTCTTGAAATGCATTTTTTTTTGTACTTTTATCATTTCTAATATTCTTTTTATTAAACCTTTTTAATAATAATAGCAAACAAATTGTGAAAACAATTATTTTACTTCATTAAGGAATTTCTGGAATGCAAATGAATAGACTACTTATGTGACCACTTATGAATAGACTCACTTTATGAATAGGTCTTTGAATCATTGATTCACACGATTCGTTTAAAACGCGGATTCATTCAGAAACTAAACACTGCTGTGTTGCTCACAGACCCTCAACAATTCTGCTGTGACTTTATAGGTAATATTTTCATTGGCAAAATTGAACAAAAACACACAATATTGTGTTTAAAATATAAGACAATATTAACTTCTTATTTACTGAACTGTTGTTTAAAATCACATTTGCACTGGTGTTCTTCGTGAAAAAAACAGTGCTCGTGTGATATTGTTCTTGCTGCTGGTGTGATATTGCTTATTTTATTATATAAATATTAGACAAAATCTCATACTGGGGCATTTTTTGCCTCAATATCTTGAATTTTGGGGCATAACTGCATATACGGAGTTGTTGCCCTGCATCATATTTATCAACAGTCACTGTATGAAATGTATGATGACGTACAGGTCTGTGGGCGTGGCCAGTGCGTTAACTGCGTTAAAATATTTTAGTCGCGTTATTTTTTCATAACTAATTAATTAAGTTAACGTGTTAAACTGACAGCCCTAATATATATATATATATATATATATATATATGTTCTAGAAGCATAATGTTTACAATATTTTCAGACAATATGTTCTCTCACAACGACTACAGTATAAATGTGGAATAATATATAAACACAACTATATACTAGTGTTTAATCCAAAGGAAAATTATGGGGAAATATCTAGTATTTGTGTGGTCAAGACAACTAAAAAATGGATCGTATTTACAGAAAAAGTACTCAGATGCATCAGTGTTTTCTAACAATTGGTGAGTATCTCAATATCTTCTCAGTCCTTTAGTCTGCTTTCACCTGGGCACAATGCCTCCTGATTGATCTGTGCTCCTGTCAGTCGCTCTCCTATGTTCCCACAGTACAGAAGAGAACGCATGGGCCATTTCTGGTAAAGAAGACACAAGTCCATCACTTTGATCTTTCACCATGTAAATACTCAAGATATTGAATCCTTAACAAAAACCTAGAATAATGTTGCAATGATGTAAAACTTTAAATAGATATAGCACTATATATCTATATTTAACATTTTATTTCAGTGTTCTCCATTACATATTGGCCTAATATTAATCAACTTTCACCTTCACAGGATGCAGGTACTCTGCTCTCTGCAGGATGGTATGGTCCCCCAACATCCCACCCTGGTCCAGGGTTTCGGTCAGGTGGGCGATATAGTTAGTGGCCAGGACCAGGACGTCCAGTTTGGAGAGTTTTGTGTCTGGAGGGACGGAGGGTAAAGCAGCCTGCAGGCTGTGGAAGGCTTGTCTAAGGTTCCGAACACGACTCCTCTCTCTCGCTGCATTCTCAGGAGAGTTTTGGGTCTTACATTCCCTGGATGGAGGTATCGGTCCAGACCTTACCTAACACAATAAAAAAGGAATGAGGGAAAACTTCTTACTATGTTTTGTGAGCCTTTAGAGGTGAGTCCCACTTTATATTAGGCATCTTCTATTACTAGTTGTATCAAACTGCTAGTTATATCAAAAAAGGGTTACACTTTATTTTACAGTACAGTGTAATTAATTACCCAAGAATGTACTGGTATAAAGTAGCTACATGGGTTAAGGTTAGGTTCAGGGTTAGTGACTAGTTATTACAGTTATAGTAATTGCTAATAAGTACATAGTACATGTGGAAAAGGACTGTAAAATGAAGTGCTATCCAAAAAATATGAATTGTTAGGTACAATGTATTGTGTTCATGTGGGATTGCAAAACACTTTTGCTGCTACTGCGGTGGAATATGGGTAGGTTAGGGACAGGTTTAGTGGTATGGGTTAAGTCAACAGTGTAATTACAGATGTATTTACTTTAATTATAGCCGTAATTATGTGCATGTATTTTTAAAATATAAGTAGGCCTACAATGTAAATACCTTTATCTACACAATAAGTGCATTGTACACTTAAAT